ACCCGATACAAAGGGAACTTTTAAGCGGCTAAACTTCGCTAAGTACTGTTTTTGTTAAAATCGTGGATTATTAGAGATTTTTTTATGACATTCCAATAGACCGCAGATATCCTACTTTTAGAAAAACTTCTTTGTTTAATAATGAATATAATTATTAAGTTGTGGTTTGTTACAGAACACGTTGAGATTCAATTATTCTTTTTAAAAAAAATTATGAGATTTATTATTGATATTCTGTCATCCAAATGTACATCTGTTCTCAGCAGCAATGACTGCAAATAATAATTGCAAATATTTAATTTATTTTTGTGTTTGCTGTTTTTTTCCAATCTTTTCAATATTAAAAGGGATAAGAAGGGCGGATATATTTTTTTTTTGCTTCAAGATTGTAATCAAAATTCTATTTTGCCTTATCCTTCACATTTCCAACCTATTATATCCCTGAGTGCAAAGGTCGAGACTGAATAGTTAATTAATTCCCATAAATTATCCCCTTATATTCATAACACAGGACATCAAAGAATCCCTCATGTTTGGTTCGTGACAGAGCTCTTCAAGCCTAATAAGATAAAATTGCTTTTCTCTCCGGCATAATTGTTCCACGTTGGCGCCAATGTTAAGGAAAGGGAAGACTGTCAGAGGGCTCTTTGCCGTGTTGAAAATTAAATTTCTAAACAAATTAGTTTTTTTTTTAAAGTAAACTTCAACGCCAACTTTTTTTTTCCAGTGACGATTTCTCCAGACAATACCTCAAAAGATCTCATCCCTTAATGCACATCCGCAGTATTAGTTTTATGAACAATAAGAACGATTTCCAGAGAACAATGGTAAGACTCCACCACTTTCAAGTATGTAATCTTCCATTCAACTTGGCTCTTTTCATCCATCACTATAGACTTCTTCAAAAGGGACCTTTCTTCGCAGTTACTCCCCAACAAGTCAATTCAAAAAGACTATTCCATTCTCTCTTATACCCGGCCAGGAATGGAGGGAAGGATTTCATATTGAGAAGAGATATATACGTGGAAATTATGTCCTTAAACCTTTCTTAACGTAGCAAAGATATTGAGATAAATTCTTAACTATCAATGTTAGAATTATCCTACAACCGAACCAAGATTTATCAAGTGCCATTTTACATGTTTTAGATAGGTGAAAAAACTTATAATACTAAAAATACTCAATTTTCGAACGGTTAGATGGAATAACCATTCCGAAAAACATAAACTTTTAAGTTAGCATATAGCTAATAGCATAGCTGTAGTATAATATATAGTCCCCTTTTTATCGAATTATTAACATCCGCCTGAAACTTCATAAATAGTTTCATCTCATCGTAACCTATAACTATTTTATTTACGAAAACTCGTGGAATTGGGGCGTTTTCGATCTGAAGGATGCCTATTTAATTAGGTACTAAACACGTAAATACACATTTGCTTTCTACTTGAATCGTAAGAAAATTAGATCACAAAATCGATAAAAAAGGTGGCCTACAAAAATATTAGGCCGTTTTTCATATATAACCTCGTTATTTTGAAATCGTGGGGGTGTAGGTCACGCCAAACGGCTCAATATTTTTTAAGGCTACCTTTTTTCTCCATATTTTGATCAAATTAACTTACAATCCAAGTAGAAAGCAAATGTGTATTTACAAGTGTTTAGTACCTAATTATATAGTCATCCTTCAGATTGAAAACGCCCCAATTTCACGAGTTTTCGTAAATAAAATAGTTGTAGGTTACGATAAGAAGAAACTATTTACGAAGTTTCAGGCGGATGTTAATAATTCGATAAAAAGGGGTCTGTAACACGGACTAATAGCATTGTTATTAAAATTTGACTAAAATCGATTAGCTTGATAATAAAGGCTATATTCTGCATTTAAACTCACTAGAGCTATAAATTTATAGTTTAACAACAATCAACTTCTTTCACTTTTGAGCCTATAATTACGTTGTCATAATTAGCAGCTTTCGATAACTGTGCTTCAATATATTACTAAAAATAATAAACCATTTAATTTTCCTTACTACTCCCATGTCATCATCACCAAGTATCTAACAGATGGATACATTATGTCTTATCGCTAATCATAAATCGAGACCTAGTTTTTCCTTTTGTAAGAAACCCCACAAGTAACCAATACAACAATAATCACTAAAAAGGGAGCAACACAGCCCATTTAAAAAACCAAAAGGTATATAAAAACACCAAATAAAGAAATGAATTTACTACCTAAAGTATAATTACTAAATAAGATAATTAACTTTAACATTATTTTATCATTTTTAATATCGGTGCTAAGCCACGGCTCTTAAGTTGTTATAATTTGCTCCATTAAATGTTTTAAATAAGATTATAAGTCTTGAAACATTTAAAATTGGCTAATGATCTCATTGGTCAATTGGATTGGTACAGATATCAAGTATATTAATAATAAATAATTATAATAATAAGTTATATCACTGTTCAAGAAGACTTGGAAGAGTTATTTATGATACTAAGTAATATATTCTTTTGTACTTAAAATTACTTACTTCTTCGTATGTACCTATTGAAATAATTTTTTTTTTAAATCAACTAAGCTAATAATTTGATTAATTTCGTGGTTCTTAACTATCTCTTCTTAAAGCAAAATAAATCATATTTCGTAATCAGCACAAACATTATTTTTTTTTTTAATCTCATAAACTTCATCTTATTTTACAAATACGAAATGAGGCCACTAAACAGGAATATAAACAGTGAATCAGCACAATGAATTATCAACGCAGCACTTGTTTCAATGATGTCACAAATTATGTATTTATCACAGGATTGTGTGTTAATGAATAAAATAAAGTTTAATTTGATTGCCTATTATGAAAAAAATATATATAATAAGTTAAGACATCGTCACAATACACCCACTATACAGTAAACCAAAAACCCTTGTTCGTTTATTTTAAACATTAGAAATTTTTCACACAAACAACAATTACAATTATGAAGAAATATACAATGATTTATAATGTTTGTTCAATTTATATTCATAATTTTTATTTCGAGTTTCTAAAAATTATTTTTATTCTTAACCCGCAGTTCTATTTTGGTTTAATTATTAAATTCATAAACCTCCTATATTAAGCACCTCCTATATGTTACATCATATTTTGAAATAATAACTTATTTTACGTTCACCAATTTCAATTTTACTCTTATTTGTTTTGTTTTTAAATCTGCGTAATTAATTAAATAATATAATAAAATTATTATATTAAAAAAGTAAATAATAAAGTCATTAAATTTAATTTAGATTTTTAGAATTATTTATATTTTACCAAAAAAACAGTTTATCTGTAAACTTAAAAATTCCTGTACCTAAAACAACAACCCAAGGGGTAGGAATCTCAGGGGCTGAAACCCTCCAAATGGAAATACTATTTATCATATTTGCAACGGTGTGTGATTTAAGCTAAATTATGTCTTATGAGAAAAATTGTAATACTTTGTCTCTAAAAGTATTATTACTCGTATAATTATATATATATTTTTTTAATTGGGCTTCAAGAATACACAATTTAAGCCATATAAACAGTTTTTTCGAAAGTAATTATTTATATATATCAAAAGATTAAAGGCTGAAGCTCCCAAAAATAAATTCTGGAATTGCTACTGATATTTATATATTCTTGGGTATAAGCGATCGAGACTGATAAAAATCATAAAAAATATATTAATTCACAAACTACGTATAATTAAACCAATTAAATGTTCAGCATAAATATATTGAATGTGGTTTCTTATAGGTCGAATTATATTTTTCTCAGAAAATACGTAATACTTTGAATTTAATACAGCAGAATTTATTTTAATCGAAAAAACATGAAAATGAAATTAATGATAAAGATGTTAATTTGACAACCCTGACTTGTAAAACAGAAACATCCTCTAAATGAAATAAACCAACAAATTCAGAGCACGTGGAATTGTTTACAACGTCCTGAGAGCGTTGGAGCAAGTCACATTGTAAATTATATTTCTTTCGGCAAGGTTAAACCAATTACATTGCCAGATTGCATTGCAAATATTGTCTTTTTGTCTATTCTGACTGTAAGTATATACGGCGCAAATTTCAAATATTTTCCACAATTATTGTGATTCAATTTTACACACATTATGAAAAAGGAAATTGATACCTATGAAAGATTATTCATGCTAATTGCAATAAAAAGTACTGGTTTCCAGATTGAAGTCAGAAAATAAAATTAAAAATTGTTTATTTAAATATGTAATAATTTTAATACCACAAGCTAAATAAAATTTAAGTTGTTTTCGAAAGTTTGGACAAAAAAAACTTATTAATGAAAGAATGATTTTATCAGTAAAGCTTCATTTGAAAATAATTTTTTTTATTCAATTGGAATATTGTAAAAAAAATTAAAACAAGTATCTTAATCTTTAATGAAAATAATTTCCGCTGTATAACAGTTAAAATGTTATACTATGGGAAAAATATGTTTCTTCAATAAGGATTCACGGGCCATATTTGCATGGCTATTATAACATTTAATTGGTTAATGTAATTTAAATATAAATAATGTATGAATAAATATAACAATAATGACAATACATAAAAAATAATAATAGAGGATTGATGATTGATTGTAGTGAAAATTGAAGAGAAGTTGCTTGGGGTGTTCAGTCAAAAATACAAAGTAAAACTAAATAAATATCATTTATTTATTTTTATTTTGTATTTTTATAATACATAATAAAACTAATAAGTTGTACAATACTACCACAAACAATAAAAATGGTTTAATCCTGAAGAATAATAGGTGGTCCAATTTTAAAAACAAATATTTAAAGATTTTTGTAAATTAATTCATATTCATGACCCATCACTAAAATGTATAAAATACTCTTGGAGGGACAAAATACTTTACATCTCTCAATACAAAAAAATATATTTAATTATAAAAATGTCAGGCATGTTTTGGAGAAAAAAATAATATTCATATGTCACCTGTGCAAACAAGAGAGACGTGTGGGATTTTCGCGGGCCCGCCAAGAAGAGGCGGGAGATTCGAAAGGACCCGACGGGAAGGGGCCGTAGCCCGAAGGAGGGGGTCGCCGACTATTTTTACTTTTAACTCGGCCGCCTCGGCGGTACACTTTCCAAAAGTGAACACGCTAACAGCCCGCTCTCGAACTCCATTTCGTCCCAGACGTTCCGGACGATCTCGAAGAGCACGAGGTCTCCAACACCAGGAGGAACACACCAAGAGGTCAACTATGCAAGATCCTAAAGGTTACTACTCACTAGAACAAACATTTAGTGAACATCTCCGTCTACTTACATAACTTTGTTCGGTCGTCCGTTTTTCCCTTTTTATGCGCCGCGGTGGAAGGTGATGATGCGCATATCTGGTCAAGATGCGCTTTTTTCTGGCCTGCACTTGGATCACACGCGCGAAGATCGCACACGGATTGATCGCTTGCGACGGTGATGAGACCTATCGTGATAGCTGACACACTATCCACAGCTGACAACCTTAGTGTGACTGTGACAACGACCGACAACACCAGAGAAAGACACAGAGGCTAGCGTGGCTGGCCGATCACTGAGAAGGCTGGTAAGAGCGCTCTAGCGGCTGGCTTGCAAGCTAGCGTGGAGGGGGGTGAATGGATCAGCTGTGGTGATAATGCAGGAACTGTTAGCATCTTGGTGCCAAGTCCAAGGTGCAACGAGCAACCAAAATACTAACAGCTGATTTTTGAAACAATAATAACGAAGCGTAGTATGCCTGAATAAATTCAACAATCTCTTCCTTCACACCTTCCTCCATTTAATGCTGTCGGTGAAACCCAAATTTACATCTTAGACTCAGTGACGTAGATAACAGCAATGCAACCGATAAGGCGTATTGGGCGCTGAGCCTTGAGGAGGTGCAATGCTTAAATGGACATCCTGGAAAAATTTTAACCGAATGAAAAAAAAAAACCGTCTAAAGAATTATATTTTTATTTTTGGTGAAGGTCTTAATCAGGATTGCTTTTGTTCCACTTTAACTTTAAAAGAACTAATTATGTAACTATAATATAAATTATTAATAATCCTAAAAGTTTATACAACTCCTACTATAAACCTACTTAAACCTACTATAAAGCTCAAAATATTACTGAAACTCTTGAATGACCTAATGTGCATTTATTGGTAAATGTCATGTTTCATGAACGAATATTAAGTCAAAATACCAACGTGTTTTGTAATATTTCGTTAAATTATGTACATACATAAAATAATATGTCTTAAGAGTGTCCAGAAGTTGCATGATGCAAGTTGCGCCATCAAAATGTTTGAAGGAGTTTATTATTTCACAGGATTCAATCAAGGAACAAGGGAGAAAATTTAAATCAATCCACTTCAAGTCTGTAAATGATTAACAATTTTTCTAATCTTATTTTTTTTCTTATCATCCATTTTATTTTTCAACAATTATATACATATAAGTATATAAAATACATACATATCTTCGCCAAGAGTTGGCTCTAATTTTACTCAGTTTTTAAGAAGAGAAAAACAATAAACTTTCTTGGGAGGAGGCATACGCCATCACCCTTGGGGAGTACACTCCTGTTCTAGAGTTTATAATTATATTACAAGTACATGTATTACATCTTGTATGAACAAGAAGTGAATTTAACTATTATAATTCTCATTATGGTTATTTTTTAATTGTTTATAAAATACTATGCGAAATCGGTTTCAAACAAATGTACTTTTAGTACGTACTTTATAAAAATGATTTTTGCGATTAATTAACTCTAATGAGGATGTACAGGAGGCTACTTGAAATATTTTGCAAGTTTAAGCACCGATGGATAAGGAGAAATAGTTTGTTGAAAAAATCTTTAATCGCGTTATTATTCATTTCAACGTGAGTAAACTGCAAACGAGACCTCACTGAAATTGTAATAATTAAAGTAAGAGTTTAATGACGCAGGTCACTACTGATTAATTTATCAGTCGTATCATTATCATTTCGATAATGATAACAGATGTTTTAAAACCGGATGTGCTAGCATCCTGCCATCTCGTTTAAATCGTAGATGGAACTATCGATAATGCTTTATAAATTAATTTGATACTTTGTCACTGATAATGGTGAATGGCAGGTACATCAAATGGCACAAACATCACGTGTAGCTTTAGTTACACCTAGGCCTATTACAGATTACGCTGATCGTTCCCACTGCTTCTTATAAATGCCGATTACATTTAAAGATCTACAAAAGAAAAAAAAGAATGGATGTATATTTCTCTTGCTATATCATTCCGATAGACTGAATGGACAAATATTTTTATTCCGTGACTACAGACCTCTAAGTATAATAACAGAGTTCCAGAATTATGAACTTAGAGAATATATAATGATGCTCAATCAACTGTTAATTGCAATTATGCACTTAATTAAATTATTCGTTTCACAGAAATTCAAGTAAATTTTACCTTTGTGGATGTATGAATATGAAGTAGGTAGAAGAATAGGTGGAGTTGTTTGAAGGATTTGTGGATGAGGATTGACGTATTGAGGTAGTTAAAGGTTCCAAAAGGAGGTAGCAGAAATGACTAAGGATTTGCTGAAGGAAAAGAGTTTAATGGGAGGGGACATATAGATCAAAAGTTTGAGATCTGGTATTAAGGGAGTCGATAGAGGAACATAGAGTAAGGAGTTCAGGATGTAGGATTTTTGGATCTAAGGACTTGAAGGGAAACATTAAAAGGTATTGCCGTCGGGAAGTAGGATAAAACCACTCAACTCGGTGTACCGGCTGGAAACATGAGAACGTCTGGAAATCCTGAAGATGTCTCTTGAAGTGAAGCAATTCAAGAGTCTCTTCAGTCTTATCTCTAGTCTAGAAGACAGCCCTCCATACAACAAGCAATCGTAGCTGAAGTGAGGGGAAACAAGGGAGGTTACAAGGAACTGTCTAGTTTTTAGAGGGTACAATCACGGAATCTTATTTATATTATTTTAGAAGAGTTGTTTATGTACAGTTGCGGATGTTTGGGTAATCTGGGAGGTATGGTTATCCCACGAAAGGTTGTGATCAAAGGTTACTCATAGGTTTTTGACTATGGGTAGGGAATGGACGGGGTGGTTTTTGAGGTAAAAAAGAGGGGAGAGAGTAAGGAAGGGAACTAATGAGATGTCTGGAACTGATGAGACTAGCCTTAATTTTTTCTGCATCCAGCTTCAAGTCATTTGTTTTTGTACATCTGCTGATACAGTCTATATCATCTTGTAGCATTCGAACAGCCTCTGGCGAAGGTTGGAATGATCAGTAAATTTGGAAGTAATGAACATACAAGTGATCTGGTTACGTTTTTTATTGTTTAGATAAAATTTTACGCCATAATGCCCTCAATTTGTTTTGGATCGATTTACCTGATTTTTTTTTATGCAATCTATATGTTTTTCCTCTTAAATAATTTATTTTTAATAATTCAGTTTATTCTAATTTTCTATTGAGTTTTCGATAATGCAATATCAAAAAAGCACTTCTCGGAAAGAAGTGTAGATATAATCCTTGATGTCTACTATTAAACTTTTAAATATTTCACTACACTTATGAGAGACCCTCTATACAAAATACTTAAATATATATATATGTATTATCCAACAGAAGTATGGTTTCCTTCCTTAAATTTCCATAACTTTATGAAAAACAGAACGTAGCCTAGTCTAGCCGTTTTAATGTTTCCTTTAAATGGTTTTAACAAACGCAAGCTCTATTTTCATTTAAAGAAAATTTTGTGTAGTTTGCTGTTAAACGAACGTTAATTAAATATTGTTTTAGTTATCACTTCCATTTCAACAAAAATTAGTTATCTATTTTTAAAAACACAAAATTACCGTTTTTTTTTTTTTTTTTTTTTTTTTTTGCAAAATATTGTACGATGGTTTATGTAAACTTTTTTATAACTCGTGGAGTCTACTATTACATCTTTAAATATTTTTCCTTTACTTTTGTAACACCTTGTATATTCTTAAAAAAATATTTTTTTCATTTGTTTCAATACTAATTGAAACACGACATTGGAATTCGTTTGGTAGTTGTGGAAAATTCATTGTGCAAAAGCTCATTAGAGACCTTGGACCTGAGGAGAAAATATTGGAAGTGGAGACAAGGCCAAGACAGATACAGAGCCGTTAATCACCTAAAGACGTTTACAACGCTTCTCAGTTTCCACCGAGTTGTAAATTAGCCTGCCTTGGAGATAAGGGCATCCGAGAAAATTATAGTTAGCTTGTAAGCGGAGCTCGGGCAGCCATCAGGTCTTGTCAATTTGGTTTATAGGCAGTCATCGAGGGTGATATGTTGTGATTTACAGCCAGAGGTTCTGCGATGGATATCGGGGGAAGAGGAAGCTGTAACAGAATACTGATCCTAAGTACACCCACTGTGGGTAGAATAGTTAATTCTGCAATCCTTGGCTAAACCTATCGGATCAATTTTAAATCATGTTAACTTTATAGCAGCATTTTTTTTAAAACATTTTATTGAGAAATATTACAATCTGTCACAGTTAAGGACACTTATAATAGAGTTCAGAGAGTACATTCACACCGTATATACAGAAATATAAATAAATAAAGTAATAAAAAAAGAATTAGAAAACAGAACAAATGAGAAAAGAAAAAAATACATATATACACATAACTAAGTAAAAATAGAAATAAAAGTAAAACAAACATCTTAGATACAAAAATACCTATATACACTATTTACAATTAGCCAGATGATCTCCGAACCAATCTTGTCCCCCCACATGTCGAGGGAAAAGCGAGGCTTAGGAGATCCCTACGATATCAGCATTAATCAAACAAGGCTGAATTCAGTGTATTCAACAAACTTTGTATTAATTATTCAAGCCATGATCTACTGGTGCATAAAAAAGTTTTTCATTCTGCAAGTAATTGAGAGTGATTCCTACCTGAATGGTTCCGGTAAATTAATTATTTTATGAAAATCAGTTTTGTAATAATTTGAAACTAAATGAATTTTTTATCGAATTATTATCACTCGACTATAATTTCGTAAGTGACTTTATTTTATCATAACCTAAAAGCTAAAGTTCTCAGAAATGGGGCGTTTTCTGATTAAATCAATTGATTTCAGCCTCCATTGATAATACCAGTGATGCGGCTGAGTGAAAGACGCTGGGATCTCCTAGAGTTCTGCCTTTCCCTCCACGAGTGTGGGGAAAGGCTTGGCTCGGAGATCTTGAGTGAATGAATATTGTATAAAAGAATGTATGTTTTTAAGTATTTATTTTGTTAGATTAGTTTATTATTGTTTAGTTTAGTATCTTTTTGTTTATATACATTTACGTTTTAGTATTATTTTATTGCTGTTTATGACTTTTATTTATTGTACATAGTATGAATGAGCTACTCTTTATCATTGTTACCATTGTCCTTGAATGTGACAGATTGTAATATATCTCAATAATTAATAACAGAAAAGAAAAAAAAATCAATTGATTAATTGTCTTACTAAAAACATACCAATAGCCAGTTGATTTCCACTTGAATTGAAAGTAATTTGATCACAAAATAGGGAAAAAAGAGTGGTCTACAAAAAGATTGGACAATTTGGCATACATGACCTCTTTATTCTCACATTTCAGGTATGTTATGATTATTAAAATCAATAATAAATAAGCTACCTGAATAAAAGGTTAAAACTAAAAACTATTAAGAACAATCGAAGGGTAGAACCTGGTTGTATATACATATAACTATTTTATTGATAAATAAAAGCTACTTTTATGTAAATTGCCATTTATATTCAAAGATAATTTTATATATCAACATGTACTAGCATTATATGATTCAATCACCACTCATTTTCATATGATATTCTTATTACATTTTCTGCGACAAACTAGTCGGACTGTGAAAAACATTTTTATTTGGAGTTGCGCACACGAAGAAATCGGAGATATTTTTCCTTTTTTACACTCTTCATTTTTAGCTGAAAAAGTTCTAGAAATGTGCCAATGTTATGAAGCTTGTCTCTCCTCCTCTCTCCATCCTTCCCCCTCTTTTTTTTATATATATATATTAGATATTTTCAAGTATATATGATAAGTAAAACAAAAAAAAAATTCTTACAACTTAACAAACTTATAAACAAATCAATTTTAAATATTTAATATTATATAGTTCGTTTACAATAATTATGTTGAATTTTCATACATCAAATACTCTCCAATCAAAATCGAAAATCTGCGCCTATGTTTACATTTAATTAGAAAAAAATGACAATTATAACCATTGGATAAATGGATATAAAGACCGGATGTAGTAAAAATAGGGGTTCCAATAATAGCTCCAACAAAAATAGAGGAGTAGGGCTAAAATAAAGTTTCACTAATCAAGTGATTGTAGACAATTTAATTATCTTTCAAATGTACCCTTGGAATGTTTTCGGATATATACCTATATACGAAGGTATTGTCATTTATTTATTCAAAAAACCTTCCTTTTTTTTTCTATGCCTGGATAACACAGGCTTAATCAGCCATGGGTAAACTCGCAGCCCAATAAAAGGTTACTCTCCGATCAAGGAGGTTGCAAAATGAATGATACTGGTTTCGAAAATCTAAAGTAGAATAATAGCCACAAACTACCATTACTGTTTTAATTTGAGGGAATTAGGACTAGATAGAGATAACTGGTGGTAGATGTTCAAGAAGGCCAAACTCAATTTAATGTGTCGTAGAGCCGAAGAAGAAGGGAATCGAAGGGATTGCCAAGATCTGTAAAACCAAATCGTATGTCCTCTAATGCAGAGCTTATTTCGAAATGGTCTCCTGTCACAGAAGAAAGATCGGTTCTCGGATCTGTCCTGCCGATGCAGTGAAGGTGCTTCTGGAGAAAGTCGTGCCTTGTAACATCCTAAAAGAAGGACGGATTTTGCTCTTGAGAAGTCTTTCGTGATCCCGCCACTTACACCGACCCAATGCTTCGCTTTCCTATAATTTTCTGGACGTATTCCTCTATTAGTGTATTTTGGAGGATTCTCTTCACTATTCATTTAGCCATTTCAATGTTAAGAGGAATATCTGGTTAGTTCATCCCAGATCCTTTCCTAGCCAGTTTATCAGCTTCATTCAATAATCTAAACATGGTATGATATTTGTTAATACAGGTTAAAAAAAAATACGTTTTTCTTTTAGTGTCAAGATGTAATTTCCTAGTGATTATATGGAACTTTCCATAGGATGAATAGATACTTTTTGAGACACATAAAACAATATAATTTTTTAATTAGTTTACATACATGACTTTTCTTAATAATATCTTCCCACTATACAAATAGATCAAATTAAAAAAATTGTTTATAGTTTTTTTTTGTTATTATTGATTCGTTTTGGGGATGCTTAGTCGTCCTTTTAAACATACAAGTGCAACTATTCCTACGAACTAAGTTTGGTCAATGACAATAGTATATATATAGTATTGTCAATGATGAAAATGATCTAGATTTTACACATACATATATAAATAGAATCCCTATCGTGGGACTGCGTATTTACAAAAAAACATAAATATTAAAATTAAAGCAATTACGTTCTCGTCTGGTTTAAAAAAAAATGTTACTAATCTCACAATAAATTTATCATTTAATGCTTAAAAAGAATCTATCGAGATGTCGTCTATACTAGTCAAGCCATTATCTCTAGATTGTTCTAGCCTTGATTTCAGAAAATATTACAACATATGTAGGCGATCCATCTACGCCACGGGCTATGTCATTGACAATTATAAATACTAAACATTAAAAAAACAAATAGGTCAATTAGAATGAAAATTACAATCTTGTTTCCTATGTACAAGAAAGAGAGGAAACATATCTCATATAATTAGAATTCAGTTTGTCAAACAATAAATCAGCATTTTTTTTATACTTAAAGAGGAAAACATTATTTATGTTGCATTATAACTATCTCAGAGTTTATATTATAAAAGAAAACATTTGTACATTTTCCCACCAACGAATGTTACTAATGTAGGTTGTCAAATCCAAGATGATTTCCAAAGTGGTGGGAATCACCCTCCATGATAAGGTAAAGATAATTTGATGACGCACCCTTTTTTTAGGGGATAAAGCCGTGAAAGGTCCAAAATCCTGATAAAGACAAGATCCTCTCTAGATCCGACCTTCGCTGGAGGAAATCGTTATTGTGATCTTGGGTATTAAGGCCTCTTTTTTGCTAATGGCGGGGGTCTCTTTCCATTTCAAACTGTTTATCTTGGTTCATATATATATATTTTTTGCCAGACCTGCAGTCGTCATTAGAAGCATCCTAAATTAGCAAATATGTGAAACTTAATCTCCCCTTTAAAAGCAGCGAAAATTATTGTGAATAACATAAAAAATTCTTGTTACTTAGAGAAGATTTAACTGAGGCATTGAGGGCAGAAAAATATTTTTTAACTTGTCTGTATGCAAATGCCTATGTATGTAGTCTATGTAAATTAATGATTCTATTTTGGAACACTTAGTCAATGTTTTGAAAGTGAAAATGTACATTCCAAGACTTTAGTTTTTTTTTTTTGGAGGGGGAGGGTTATTCTTTTTATAATCTTTGATAAGAGATAGATTCTTATCAATAAGGAAAAGAGAAGATATTTCATATATGTCGCAAATGTGGCCGAGAATCAGAAACTCCTGCTTTAGTCACCCGCTTGCTTAATTATGTAGGCATAATTATGTAAATATAAAGCCGAATTCCTGGAGACGATAGTATAGATGCTTCCTGGAAGTGTATTGCCTTGATACTGAAGGCTCAGCGAGATTTGTAGATATCTTAGCCTTTAATGTGAAAGGAAAAGACGCTCTGATAGTTGATCTTACGATCAGATTTGAAACAAACGATGAGATTCAAGATCTCGAAGTACAAAAAGAAAAGGAGAAAATCTATAAAAAATGCATAACGTACCTGCAGGATAAATATAGAGAGGAATTAGGTGAGAGAATAATCGGTTCGGGGACTGCTTCGGGAGGAGAGTAGCGATTCCACCTTCAACTACTGGTTGTTTGGAAGTATTGGGTGTCGAATGGAGATATCTGCAGAGTATGGAAGAATCCATTATTTTAGACTCATTGGGAATCCTACACCGTACCCTTTATTGATTCTGTGTGCTTTGTTGTGGAAAAAAGTGAGATGGGAGAAAATGAGAAGAAATTTGTAACATGAATAAATTATAACATTCGGTAAGTTGGATGATGTAAAAAATTTGTTCTCTTTTGGTTTTGATTGGTTAAATGGTTTCGATTATGAGTTATTAGTAAGTTGTGTGATTTAGCACCTCAACACAGTTGTGCAGCCGTAATATTTTATTATGTTTCTCTAATTAATATTAGAGAAGAATATATATATATGTATATATATATATATATATGTATATATATATATATATATATATTATATATATATATATATATATATATATATATAATATATATATATATATATATATATATATATATATATATATAGCATTTCCAAGTCAATTTCAACCTTTTCCAAATCAAATTCAACCTTTTCCAAGTCAAATTAAACCTTTTCCATTTCAAATTAAACTTTTTCCAAGTCAAATTCAACCTTTTCCATTTCAAATTCAACTTTCGATTTTTTGTCAATTTTCGATTTTTTTCGAAATGAAGGCCACTTACTATATTATCGAAGGCATAGCTTTTAAAAAATACAAAAAAAAAATTGATTACGCAGTTGCATATCCATTTATTTTAACATTTTAGATTTTTTCAGTGTGATATTTCTGTGTGATATTCAATTATTTCCAAGTCAAATTCAACCTTTTCCAAGTCAAATTCAACCTTTTCCAGATCAAATTAAACTTTTTCCAAGTCAATTCAACCATTTCCATTTCAAATTAAACCTTTTCCAATTCAAATTCAACCGTTTTCATTTCAAATTAATGTTTTAAGTTTTTGTAAATTTTATATATTTTTTTAAATAATGTCCATCCCCTCCCCCCCTCCAATATGAAAGTCTATTATTATGCTCTCCTAAGTAGAATTTTCACTTACGGATATCGATTTATTGTACCTATTCGGATTTCTTAGGGACTTGTATTATGCTGTCCTGTACCTAGTTTTGAAAATAACCTCCATTTTAAGATTACGTGACTGCGTTTCGAATCATTTAAGTTTTTTTGACAAATTCGATATGTGGGTGTATTTTTATGTTTCCCGATCAGTAAATTTTGAAAATGACATCCATTATATGTTTACGCCACTGTGTTTTGACTTATTTACGTTTTTAGAATTTATCCAATATAAAGGTCTACTTTTTTGTTTCCGGAGCCGTAGATTTTGAAAACGACCTCCATTTTAAGATTAGGCCACCGCGTTTCGACTTATTTAAGTTTTTCGGATATTTTTCATATGAGGGTGTATTTTTATGTATCCGGAGCTGTAGATTTTGAAAATTACCTCCATTTTAAGATTAGGCCACCACGTTTCGACTTATTTGAGTTTTTCGGATATTTTTCATATGAGGGTGTATTTTTATGTATCCGGAGCTGTACATTTTGAAAATGACCTCCATTTTAAGATTAGGCCACCGCGTTTCGACTTATTTGAGTTTTTCGGATATTTTTCATATGAGGATGTTTTTTTATGTTTCCGGAGCTGTAGATTTTGAAAATGACCTCCATTTTATGATTACGCCACTGCGTTTTGACTTATTTAAGTTTTTCGAATTTATCCAATATTAAGGTCTACTTTTATGTTTCCGGAGCCGTAGATTTTGAAAACGACCTCCATTTTAAGATTAGGCCACTTCATTTCGATTTCTTTAAATGTTTCGAATTTTTATCATAAAAGAGTGTATTCTTATGTTTCCGGAGTCGTAGATTTTGAAAATGACCTCTATTTTAAGATTATGCCACTGCCGTTTCGGCTTATTCAAGTTTTTCGAATTTATCCAATTTAAAGGTCTACTTTTATGATGCCGGAGCCTTAGTTTTTAAAACTACTTACATTTTAAGATTAGGCCACTGTGTTTCGGTTTTGTTAAGTGTTTTTGATTTTTCTTTCGAATAAAAAACATAATACGAAGGATTAATTTATTTTTCAATAAATAAATAAAAATATCTAATCAAAATAAATAAAATATGTATTGTCTCATTTTTAATTTAATTTTAGTTATCTTTTTTAATTTTGTGGTCTCCTATCACAAAATTATAAGATTTCGAACAATTAGCTGAAAAATCTGAGTACGGAAGGTTAAATTTATTACCAGTTGCTTTTCGGCTTTTTAGTTTGTATTCTGTGGTTAATTTTACTTTAGCTTCATAATATTTATTTATTTATTCATACTCGAAAACATATTGATGAAACTTTGTATTGAAAAAATCCAAAATGAAGCCTAATTAATCAAGATGCAGCGGCTTAATCATAAAATGGAGCTTAAATATTAGATAAATTTAAATATTAAAGATTAGAAAAATTTCAATACGTCTCGGATAACATAGTAGATCCTTATACCGAAAAAGTAAAAAAAAAAACTTTTATAATCCAAAACAGTGGCATAAACTTTAAATTGGGTCAGTTACAAAATGGGGGAAATCTACTGCTCCAGAAACATAAAATTAGACCTTTATACTTGTTAAATTCTAAAAATTTAAATAAGTTGAAACGCAGTTGCGTAATCATAAAATAGAGGTCATTTTCAGAATCTACGGTTCCGAAAACATAAAAGTAGACCTTTAAATTGGATAAATTCGAAAAACTTAAATAAGTCAAAATGCAATGGCGTCATCATTAAATGGATGTCATTTTCAAAATCTACGGCTCAAGAAACATAAAAGTAGACCTTAATATTGGATAAATTCGAAAAACTTAAATAAGTCAAAACGCAGTGGCGTAATCATAAAATGGAGGTCATTTTCAAAATCTACGGCTCAAGAAACATAAAAGTAGACCTTAATATTGGATAAATTCGAAAAATTTAAATAAGTCGAAACGCAGTGGCGTAATCATAAAATGGAGGTCATTTTCAAAAT